CCTTCCTGCTTAAAATGTAATGAATATTAATTACCATATCAAGCTACCCCTGTACTGCTGCATTAATATTAGTGCTCATGTTCACAGAGCAGGTCACTGAGGGCTATTTGCAGTGTTTTTTCTCATTTGAGGCATGTAAGTAGGCCTCTGTTCACTCAGTCTCTCACACTTTGGACTTGTACACCAAAACTCTGTCCAGTTTTTCCCCAGCTAGAACCACTTAGTCTAATAAAATAAAGTTTATTTAACCCCCAAAAGTGTCCCTTCTGTGACCTCAAACACAGTACTTAAGCTTCTTTGAGGGTGGTTTAGTCATGAGCAACAGAAGGATAATGTTTAGCTCACAAGGCTATTGTAAAAGCTTAGCTATTGTAAAGAGCTTTAAATGCTGAACTACCCCAAGGTGTTCAGTTCCAAGGGGAAACTGAACTATACCTTCCTTCAGAAATAAATTTTATTTTACTTACAGGGGTTTTTTTTCAGTTGTTGGAATGAAGAACATGATCTAATTTTGACCACGGTGAAGGAAAATGTAAAAGGAGGCATTTTATATTCTTTGCTGTTTCTTAAGACCCTGATCATCCAATAAAAAAAGCACAAATATTTCAGTTCTGTATGGTTTTAAAGCTATAAACTCCTATTTAATGCTATTTACTGCTTTTTATTTTGAGATTGAGCAATTCTAGAACATGTGCTGTGCTTACCTTTTACCAACTGTGTTGAAGGAGAACGAGGGTTGACTGTAACTACACCAGCAAGGCTTGGCTTAGCAAGGGATGGCAGCTCATGACTGAGGGAACAGGAGCTCTCACATTTAGGACAGTGACTGAACTTACCCAGCTGTAAAAACCAGATTAAAAATGCCACCTAGTGGCTCTCTGTGTCCATTTATTGCCACAATGCTTCAAATTAATTTTGAGGCAAATTCAGTCAAAATACAACAGATGAGAGAATTTAACTTTAATGATAATAATTTTTTGAGATAGGAGTGTAATTGAAAACCTTGTGCTGGCCCTATGTATGTAGTCCTTGAAACTCCTCTGTCAGATAAAAATCAATCTTACAAAAGAAACTCGATAAACCAGTTATAATTTTTTGTTCCTTATTTCCCTTCTCTATCCTCTGCTTGGTAAACTGCACACTACCTTAATTTTAGCTTTCAAAATTTAATAGCTGTAGTTACAGTTCAATTTATGGGTTTTTTCCGCATCCTCTTGCAAGCAAAAGGATTTTTAGGCAGTTTCAGTATGATCTAGCAATTATTTATAATGATAAATTCCATTATGAGTGTTAATTAATCCAAATATAAGCATCAGGGGAAAGGTTTTGCAAGGTACCTCAACACCAGCTGGTGCATTTGGAGGAGTTCAAAGGTCAGAAAGGTAAAAAAAGGGGCATTTCAGGAAAAAACAGAGATAAGCCTGAAGAAAATAGGCTGTTATACCTCAGGTTATCTGTATCCCTCTCTGAATTCCTTATGCATGCACAAGGGACCATTTAGTAGTGGCAGGTTGCTCTACACTGGTGCAAGAGCGGGGGGCTCATGGTTTTTCTCACTTACCCTGAGGCAAGTAGAGTAGATGATGAAGCCTGACTGACTGGAACAGAACTCTTCCCAACTTGCATGGCTGTAAGGCAGAGAATGTTCATTCCTCTGATGTTCCATTCCTACTGGTACTTGCATTACATTTGAAAGTTAGTCAAATTTCAGTGCCTTCCTCCAACACAGCAATGCAAATCACCATTTCATTTCATATTAATATAGTGGAGTATTAAATCATAGAATCATAGAATCAACCAGGTTGGAAAAGACCTCTGAGATCATCCAGTCCAATCCTTGATCCAACCCCGCTGTGGTTCCCAGCCCATGGCACTGATGCCACATCCAGTCTCACCTTCAACACCTCCAGGGATGGTGAATCCACCCCTCCCTGGGCAGCCCATTCCAAAGGGAGCAATTCAGACCCTGTTCATCTGTTGGAGGAGAAGAAGGTGGAAGGAGGAGAGGGAGGAAAGAAATATATTTACTTTTTTACACATGAGCACTTCTTACCAAGCCAGAAGACTTTCCTGCTAATGAAAGCTGTCCCCAAGGAATTTGAACTTACTTTTACAGTGGTGCAGAGCCTTAATAAACACGTATTTCTGTTTAAATCAAACCAATTTGTAAGCAACATCCAGTAAAAATTATGTATGTGGAGTTCAGATCCCATTACAGCAACTAGAGAGACCTTTGCACCAGTGCAATTCCATGAACTCAAACTGGGCCATCAGATTAACCCCTGCAACCACAGACACCCTGCTCAGCCTCTGCTGCAGCAGCAGGAGGGAAATGGAGCTACAGGGTTGAATGGCATTTGTCCTACAGTTGTTTGTTGTGTTTACCTCTGTTCCATGATGTTTCTTGCAGCTTGTTTTCTTTCCTAGCATTTATTTTAGACTGGATAGGAAGATCATGGACTGGAATTTACTGTACGCAAACTAGGAAATACAATTACTTTAACAGACCTAGAGTCTCCTTTTTTGTTGTTGTTGGTTTTGGTTTTTTAGGGTATTTTGTGCATTTTTGGTAGTTTTTGGTTGGTTGGTTGGTTGGTTGTTTTGGTTTTGTTTTTGTTTGGGGTTTGTTGTTTGTATATAATCAGAGATCTCAGAGATCTAAGGTGCCGGTTTGCCCTTTGTGAAAATGTAAAAGTGATGTAGAGGCAATGGAATGTATGTCACTATTCACAGGGCAAGGTACTCCAGGGAGCAGCTGACATTCCCAAAGGCTCTCAGCAGGAAGGTATCCAAGGGTTTTGTGCACTGGAGTTGTGTTTCCTGGTTAGTTGGACTGTTGTGCTTTCAGTGCAAAGGTAAGTTTGACTCAGTGTTCTCTAAGATGGGCCAGAGAGATGATTCATTCAAAGAACCCTCCTTTGCCTGATGGCCATTCCCAAGTTCCCAAAGGGTTTGGATCTATGGCTATTCTCTAACCTGTGTCACTAAACTGAGTCTTTCTCTATATTTCACAAAAACCTCTAGTAAGCTACTTTTAGCAGTAGTTTACTATTTTCTTTGGATTCAAATCTTTTGTTACTAGCCAGCTTTTTTGACAAAGGATTAGTTATGTATTAGAAATACTATTCTGATTTTTAACTTGCTTTCTTTAGGAATATCAGGCTTATTTAGTGGTTCTAACCTTTGTGTGTCCCCATAACAAGAAATGTTTACAAAGCATCAGGAGTATCAGGCCTTTCAAGAATATCAGGGAGTTAGTGGAAAGCCACTAACAGCACCTGCTCTGGGGCATCTGTCTGCAGCTTCTGGGAGCAGAAACTGTTTAAACTGCACCAGAGCAGACACAGTCAGTTGTCCAAATGAACAAGTGAGGGAAAAACAAAAATGTTCCATGGGAAAGAGGGAACCCCCAATAGTGCAGTCTGGCCTAAACAAGCAACATGGAAATAAGTACAAGAATATACTTCCAAAGAAAACCAGAGTTGCTGACTGTACAAGTCAGCAGACAAAATTATACCTTGAAAAAAATCTAAATATAGGATTTGCTACGTTTTAATTTATCACTCTGCCTTAATACAGTACCTGGAATACCAATAAGAACTTTCTTCTGGTGCAGGACATTTGATTCTGAACTTTAGCTCACCTGTAACGAGCAAAGTGAAATCTTAGTTTTATTCAAAGGAACTCAAGTTATAATTTTTTCAATGCAAATTAAGAAGATAGAGTGAGATAGAGCACTATGGCAAACAAGCCACTGTTGCTACAGAAATTTGCCATTTTTATTAGATATTCCTAAAATCAAAGCATTTTTATTGGATATTCGTAAAGGAAAAGCAGAGCAATACTGTTTCTTTCCCCAGCTCATATCAGAGAGTAGCATTTTGACTTTATTTTAACTTTAATTATATATCTCTTTGGTTCACCAGCATAACCAAACACTCCAAAGCAGAATCTAAATCTCAATTCAATTTAATATCCAGTCCTGTCAAGTACCTTCAATGTGGTATTCCTTCTTGTGTTTAGAAATCATGGAATGAAAGCACCACCTTCTTCTGCAGGGCTGGTAATTGATCCACATTATTTTACATGGTTCCTAAATCACTTTAGCTTACGCATATGAGTTTATGAAATGACTGCAGAACAAATGAGCAGTTTTCAGGGTGCTCTATGAGGTTTTTATTTTTTCCACGTCTTGATTTTTTGTTTGTTTGTTTGTTTGCCCTTCCATTCAACATGAAACTGCGTTTCATCGTGCTAATAAAAACAACAAACAAGCGAGAGCTCAGACTCAGGAAGATGATCTCACACCTTTCCACATGAGATAACCCGGGAACACGTTTATCTCATCTAGGACACCCGCACCACATTATTCAAACAACAAAGAAGCCAGGACAATAAAAAATGCACTGTTAATATCAAAGCCTCTTGTGACCTGTTTTTCAAAAACGACTGTTACAAGTTAAAGCAGAGACTACTCAGTAACCACTCCGTTAACTGCAGTCAGCACTCATTAACCGCCGTGCACTTTGGGCCCGTTCCTTCCTGCTGTTACAGGGCTTAAAACCACTCAGTAGAAATTTTAACCAAGTCACACAGAGATCTGAAACCCCCGAAACGGGAAGTCAGCAAAACGAGCCTTTTTGTTCTCCACAATTTAATGGCCTATCGGTTTCCAAAGGGCTTTGCTATTTGAGCCTCATCAGCTGATGTCCCCCGCACTGCAGTGCAGAGTCGCACTGAAAAGAAACGAAGAAGCGACGGACAGTCCCTCAAGGGAATAACGAATTTGAACGTTATTAACAGAAATAAACCCTTGCTGTGCTTCTTTATTAACGTGTCACTTGCTTCCTTTACCGCTCGCGCTCTAACCGAGCCCAGCGCCGCGCGGGGCCGGGCCCGGCCGTCCCTCGGCGCCTCAGGGGCGGCGGCCGGGGCTGCGGGGGGTGCCGGTCCCTCACCCGGGGTTCGGCCCGGCCGGGGCTGCGGGGGGTGCCGGTCCCTCAGCCCGGGGTTCGGCCCGGCCGGGGCTGGGCGGGGTGCCGGTCCCTCAGCCCGCGGTTCCGCTCACCCGCCGCGCCTGGGGGGGGCACACGGAACATGGCGGAGGGGCCAGGCCGCGCCCGCCCCGCCGTGTCCTGACGGGAACCCGGCGGGCCCGGGGCGGGGCGCCGAGGGCGGGTTGGGCGGCGGGGCTGTCGGTCAGCGTCGTTCGCGTGTCCGTCCGTCCGCGCCCACCGGGCGGCCAGCGCGGAACTGCAGGCGGCGTGTGGCGGTGCTCGGCCGGTGGGTGCGCCTGGGACGGGCAGAGCGCTGCGGGGAGCCGAGCCGCGGGCTGAGGGAGCGGGGCCGGGCCTGGCTTGGCGAGGCCGCGGAGGGGAGGCAGGAGCAGGGAGGTGGGAGTTGCGCGAGGTAGGGGTTGGTGTCTGGGTAATGGTTGGGTGTGCGGGGAGTGTGGGAGGGGGGGCAAAGGGAGGGTGTGCGGGGCACGGGATGTGCGGGCAGGGGGTGTATGGGTCGGTGTGTGAGGCGGGATGTGTGTGGGGCTGGGGCGGTGGGCAGGTGGTGAGGTAAGGGTTGGTTTGTGGTGGGTGTGTGTGGGGTAAGGATTGGGTGTGCGGGCAGGGGTTGTGTGGGGGGCAGCACGAGGGGGGTGTCGGTGTGTGGTGGCTGTGTATGAGGGGTCACAGGGAGTGTGGGGGGGCAGAGGGTGTGTAGAGGGGCACAGGGGGTGTGTAGAGGGGCACAAGGTGTGTATGTGGGGGCACAAGGTGTGTATGTGGGGGCACAAGGTGTGTATGTGGGGGTACAAAGTGTGTATGTGGGGGTACAAGGTGTGTGTGGGGGGGGGCACAGGGTGTGTGTGGGGGGGTGGCACAGGATGTGTGTCAGGCGGCACAGTGGCTGTGTGGGGCGGAAAGGGGTAGGGGTGTGTGGGACATGGTGTGTGTAGGGGCACAGGGGCTGTGTGGGGCGGAAAGGGGGGGTGGGACGCAGGGTGTGTGGAGGGGCACAGGGGCTGTGTGGGGCAGAAGGGGGGTGGGTGTGTGTCGGTGTGTGGAGCAGGGGCTGGGGCGGTGCGGAGGCGGTGAGATAGGGGTCGGTGTGTGTTGGTGTGTGTGGAGTAAGGGGCACGGGGTGTGTGGGGGTAGCAGGGGTGTGTTGGTGTGTGGTGGGTGTGTGAGGGGACACGGGGTGTGGGGCGGCAGGGGAGTGTGTCGGTGTGCGGGGCAGGGGCGGTGCGGAGGTGGTGGGGTGGGTGTCGGTGTGTGCTGGGGGTGTGTGGGCAGTGTCGGGAACATGAGTGAGGGAATATGGGGTTGTGGGGGTCCCGGAGGGGCTGTAAATCCAAATATAACGGATATCTGCTATTTTATTGGGAGAAGTGGACACTCCTGGTCTGAGTGCCCCAGCGAGCACTCCGACAGCTCCGGGCTCAGACCGGGCTCAGGCGGGGCTTAGGCCGGGCTCCAGCGGGACACCGGCTCCCCGGGGAGGCAGTGCCAGGTGCTGGAGCGGGAGCGCGTTTATGTAATTGGCTCTTACATAATGGTCTTTAGCACATCGCTTTAATTAGCACCGCTACCGGGGGTGTCCGGGGCAGCAGCCCCTGCAGCCTGCGGGAGGACCCCGAAGGTGTGAGCTCTGCAGTCCCGGGCAGGGAGTGGGGACGGTGCAGAGTGTGCTCCGGGGCTGAGCAGGGCTACCTGACCTTGGGAAGCACGTGTCTGAATGGTATTGGCAACTCTGCTGCCAGGAGAAAACCACATTGCCTCACTCTGTAGGCCAGCTGGTGGGAACAGGGGAGGTTTGTTTAAAACACTGTTTCAATCGGCTTTTTGATCAAGAATGTGAAAGTCGTCATTGTTTCAATCTTGTATGGTTCACAGGGGCAGGAAGAGGAAGAAGGAAAAACAGGACAGGGAATGGCCTGGAGAAGGTTGGCAAAAAACACAAGGACTTCTGCTGTTGGTGCTTTTTGGGTTTAGCTGTTGCTGGAGTTGGGTGTTGGCAGCTGCCTTCCTATTATTTTGGTTGTGCTCTCTGCAGTACAACAAAAGGCATGGGTTGTGTTGGGAGGTGCCAGTGGCCCAGGAGACTGCAGGCAGAGCCTCAGCAGTGAACTGGTATTGCCTTTTCCATCTGCTCTCCTGACATCGGCTGTAACATTCCTGTCTTTGCCTGTCCTCAGAGGGTCCCCAGAATTATAGTAGTGAGATCTGCTGGAATGCTTGTCCACTCTTTTCTGTGTTAAGCATGGGTAGCACATGTCAGAAATGTTTTGTGACATGTTGCTTTGGTTTTCCAAATGGGATTTCAGTAGTCCTTGGCTTGTATCAGTAGGCCTTCTGTTTAGAATAGCTCAAGTTCAGTTTTAGCTCCTGCTGATTTCTTGGAAAGATTTTCATGCGTCTGATCTGGCTGGTTTCTTGTTATTCCTTGCGAGGTGCTCTGCTAAAAAAACCAATACTGCAGTAGCATGAAGGGTCTTTGTTTTGAGACCCAGAGCACGTGGTGCTACAAGCCCACCTGAAAGTCACTGAGAGCTCACAGAAAACTGTTGTTCTGTGTGGCTGCTGGTGGGATCTTTTGGGAGTAATTGTGCTTGCAGTGCTACCACACAGTGAATTTTTGAAATCCATGGGGCAAAATTCTGTTGTGAGTAAGCATCTGGTTGTACTTAACAATATCCCACAGCCTGAATACCTTATTGAAAGTAGGAGACAATGCATGAACCTCCCCCTGGCAACTGAAGAACTCCAGCTGTTCAAGTGCCCTTGGTTTCAGTGCTGTTGGCAGCAGAGCTCCTCACAGCTGCTGGTTCTAACTGCACCCAAATGAACAAGCCAAATTGTGAACTGTAAAAGTTGTCAATGTGACTGTGTTATAACTGTCACTGCATCAAAGTGCACAATGCCATGATAAATGCATTGATGAACCTGCTGTAGAATCTGCCTTCAGCTGAGTTAAAGATCCTGCCTGCTGAAGGTTGGGTAAGACCTTGAGGGTAAAAAAAGAAGAACAGCTGAGCTTATAAGCTGTAACAGAATTGGAAAGGTAGACTAGTCTGTTCCAGTTGTGAGGATCATGGTAATTCATATAAATCATTAACTAGCCACATCCTTCAGTCTTTCCATAGGGTTTAAGTCCTGATCTTCTCTTGGGTTAGATGCTTAGAGTCTATTAATAGAGTTGTACTCTAGCAGCTTTTTTGAAAGTGGTGCATTAATTGTCAGTTAAGTTCCTGTTTTCCAGCTCGTTGGATCTGTTTGCTCTGTGTCATGTTAGATGAGGCTTTTCACTGTGCAGTTTCCCATAACATTTCTTGTAATGTTGCCATTTCTTCTTAGCCTTGCCACAAGGAGGAAAAACCTGGAAAGTAAAAATTTTCTTTTCTGGTGAGTTAACTGGAGAGGGGCAGTCATATCCTCAAGTGATGGAAATTATATCACTGTTAAGATGCCTTTATAGAGATATCTTTTGGAAAAAAGTTCTGAATGATTCTGAGAGCTCTGGATGTGCTTTTGTATTGCAATATAGAAAGTTTCTTGTGAGCCTTCTAAACCTTATTCCTTTCCTACACTTATATTGCAGGCAGAAAGGACATTCTGCATTACTGGAGGCAGGTGCTCTGTTTGCGGAGTGACTTATGATGTCAAGAACTGTCTCATCCTGGATCTTAAGCTCAGCAAGAAACAGCATTGTTTGCCAAGGGAAAGGACGTTGGTACTCCATCTGTATCCCAAACAGAAACAAGACAAAATGGAAGCTTGTTGTCTCCAAAACACACCCCTTCCCTGCTGGGGGCTGCGGCTTAGACAATCCTTTCCCCTTACAAAGAGCATTCCGACACACTTCCACCGAAGAGGAGCATTTTTCTTTCCAGTTGTCTCCATCACAAATCAACGACATCCTCCGAGCAGGTGAATTATCCCATAAAACACTGGATCTGAACGGCAAAGCCACCAGTTCTGTGTTGAGGTTTGAGAGTAACCAGCTGGCGTCCAACAGCCCCATCGAGGACCGGCGGAGCGCGGCCACGTGCCTGCAGACGGCGGGGATGATGTTCGGGGTGTTCGACGGCCACGCGGGCTCCGCCTGCGCCCAGGCCGTGAGCGAGAGGCTCCTGCACTACATCGCCGTGTCCCTCATGTCCCGGCAGAGCCTGGAGGAGATCGAGCTGGCCGTGGAGTCCATGAAGCCGGTCCGACCCATCCTGCAGTGGCACAGGCACCCAAACGATGTGGAGTATCGAGAAATCACCTCCCAGTACTTTGAAAACCTCCGGGTGTACTGGCAGCATCTGTTGGACCTGGACACCGAGCTAGGGTTTAGTTTAGAAGAAGCCATGGTGTGTGCATTCAAAAGGTTAGACTCAGACATATCACTGGAAGTTCAGGCTCCTCAGGAAAATGAACTGATGAGAAATATTGCCCTCCAAGTAGCTTTTTCTGGTGCAACAGCCTGTGTAGCTCACGTTGATGGTGTTCACCTACATGTTGCAAATACCGGTGACTGCAGAGCAGTTTTAGGGGTTCGTGAAGAAGATGGAACATGGTCTACTCTCCCTCTAACCCGAGACCACAATGCCTGTGATGAATTTGAAATCAGAAGATTGAAGAGAGAACATCCTAGATCTGAGGAGAAAACTCTCTTTGTGAATGACAGATTACTGGGCATCCTCATGCCCTCCAGAGCCTTTGGAGATGTGCAATTAAAATGGAGTAAAGAATTGCAGCACAGTGTTCTCGAGAATAGCTGTGATGTTGAGGCTTTGAACATTTATCAGTATGTTCCTCCAAACTACCATACACCCCCTTATTTAACTGCAGAGCCTGAAGTCACATACCACAAATTGAGGAGCAAGGATAAGTTTCTAGTTATTGCTTCGGACGGGCTGTGGGAGATGTTGAGTAACGAGAAGGTTGTCAAACTTGTTGCTGGACACCTCACAGAGCTGAACGTGCAGAAACCACAACTGACTTTTAAGAAACCAGTTAATTTGGGTTATATGCACAACTTGCTGCTGCAGAGGAAGAGCAGAGGCCTGGCCTCCCTGGACCAGAACATCGCCACCCACCTGATCAGACACGCGATCGGCAGCAACGAGTACGGCGAGGTGGACCCCGAGAAACTGGCGGCCATGCTCACCCTGCCCGAGGACCTGGCCAGGATGTACAGGGATGACATCACAGTCACTGTGGTGTACTTCAACTCAGAAACCATCGAGAACTACTACAGGGACCACGAGTGACCTTGCACTGCTGCTCTGCAATACCAGTAGCAAACTTTGATATTGGAACCATTCCTCTCGTTCTCTCATAGTCGAGCTGTTACCAGTGTTATAATCTGCAGGTTTCTAGATTTTTTTGTTACTTGCTAGTAAAACAACTTTGGTGAAAGTTCCCTGGGTTTCCAGGTCTGTGTACTCTGAAGGAAAATGGTTTCATAAAACTTCACCGAGATGTAACTGAACTAAAGATTCTGATTCCATGAGAGCCTCTGGTAAAAATTTTCAAAAGAACAAAGGAGACAAATTTCACTGAGCCTGCTACAATTTAACAGAGAGCTGGATAATAGGTGTAGCTGCATGGCCTGTCAGAAAGGCTCTGCTCTTGTGGCAAACAAGTAGCATCCTACTGAAGCACTGTAACTGAATTAAATAAATTAACTACCAAAACTTTCTTTGATGTAAGTGTCAAATATTTTAACCAATTGCCTCATGCTTATGAAACAATGTGAAAGAAGGCTGTTCAAAGAGCCCTGGGATTGTCAGATGTCTTTTTTCCTAATTCTCTTCCTTAAGCTAGGAAAAAATTGTATTTTCAGCTGCAATGATTTTGAAGTGTGATTGCATATTCTCTTAACTTTGTGTGAACTTGTGTTACAACTTTCAGCTCAAACACATATGAGGGTCTTCACAATTCCCTGTTTAGATTTTAACAGTACTAGACTTAGGCATTTAAGTGTTTTGCTTAAAAAATATGCCCTTTATTAAGTATTGATCTATGGAGTGCTCTGCCTCAAATCCACCAACTCTAATTTAAATAAAATTTGTCTGATCCAGAAGTTCAAAAATTCATCTAAATGTAAATACAGCAAAGGAGGGAGCACCTTTCTCTTCAGATTTAACTTAGAGGAAATAACAGTGCTGATATTTCACTGAAAGATGTTTAATCTTTTATTCTTGCTTTTGGACATCAGCTTTTCCTTATAGGTACAGGGTTATTTTCTCTAGTGAATGTATGTCCTAGTCTCTGAACATACATTTGTGTGTGTTTTGTTTTATGCTGTGCTTTCTGGAGTGCCATCCAAGCTTGCAAATTAGCTTTTACAGATGGTGTTCTCTGGTGACTGCTCTGCCTTGTTTACACACAACAGTAACTGTTTCCCACAAGAACATGGATCCTGGAAATACAGGACTGTTTACTGTTGTTGCTGCTGAATAAGAACTTATGAGGGTGCAGCAGAGCAGATAAAAATATTGCTTTTCTATTTTCCCTGAACTTCCCTTAAAAAAAAAGCTCTATCCTTTTGCAGTTTAGCAGATGAAAAAGTACTTAGTTTTTTCTCAAGATCTTAAGTAGATGAGGCCTTAGGGCTTAAACTGGTAGCCCTTGTGGATTTGGGGTTTTTTGTATACTTCCACATAAAAATTATTACTGCTTTTTTCAGGCATTTAAATCTGTTTTGAAGATGGGATTAGAAGGAAGGTAAAACTGTTTTAAAAATGTTCATGCTTTTGACTATTCAGGATTGGCTGTAATTCAGTTCTACAACTGCAGTCACTGAATGCATCCTTAAAAAACCTCTGTTCTGGAAAACTAATTTACTGTTCGTTTTTTTTTCATCTAGTACATACTGGAGCACATCCAGCAACTCAACGTGGAAGCAGATTAAATGAGGAGATCTGTTGCCCTTGATATCAACCAAACAGGATGTCCTCAAGCAGTCTGACCCTGGGATCTCTGTGATAAGGACTGCAGACTTCAGGGATGTGCAGGATGTTGCAGAGGTTGCTGAAATTCTTAGTGCTGGGCTCCAACTTGCTTTAAAGTGTGCCCTGCCCTCATCCTCGAGGCTGGTGCTGTGCTGACGGAGCTTTCATCTGCCACAGAAGGGCAAACAGTGAAGGTCAGGCCCTGTGTCACCCTCGAGGGGGCTGGGCTGCCTGCAAGGAGAGGGGAGCACTCCTCAGCAGCATTCCTAAACCCTTCTGGCTTTAGGTGATCTGTTCCCTTACAAATCCTTGTGTGTCATAGTTCCGTGCTCCATTGCTTAAAATTTAGCCTTAAAGCAGTAAAAACAAAGCATCTCTAGACTGCCTCTTAATAGAGAAATTACTTTGCCATGTAGCTGGAGAAACAGAGGGGGCAAACCACATCAGAGTGATGTGAAGTGACACACGTTTCATGAAGGTAATCTAGAAAATGTTCAGTGTAGAGCAAACCTGCTGCTGCAAAAGTAGTGTAGCAAACCAGCTTGTGTACAGGCATAAAATAAACCCAAGCTGTGGTTCTTTTCACCACAGTGGTGAAATCCAGGTCACCTTTTGAGGGTCACTATGGTACTGTGTCATCTAAGTGTAAATCCTGGGCACATTATTCTGGGTAGGTTGTACCCACACCTGCAAATTGATAGATTATTTTGGGAATGTATCTGAAAATAAGCAAGGCAGCATTTCCCATTTCATGCTAGAATTGCTCAGCTTAACATGCAATGCTATAACCGTGCTACAGTGGAAAAGGGTAATGTTAAACTAGTTAGAGGTTTGTTTGGATTTTTTTGTTCGGTTGGTTTTTTTAAGTGCAAATTATGGATTTACCTGGATACTCCCTGGAATTTGCTGCATGTCAGTGAAAGCAACCTGTCCATACTTAGAATCATTTAGGCTGGAAAAGATCTCTGAGATGGAATGCAGCCATTGACCCAGCACTGCCAATACCACCACTAACCCATGTCCCTGAGCACCACCTGCACACACCCACATCTCCAGGGATGGTGGCTCCACCACTGCCCTGGGTGAGCACAGGGCACATTGCAGGGAAAGACCTGAATCCCACACAAACATCTCCCCTCTCCATCAAGTGAGTGTGTCACTGGAACTAAGAGGGATGAGAAAACCAAAGGGTGAAAAGCCCAGACGTGTGTGAGATGTCTCCAAACCCACAGCTGCTTCAGGCCTGGCTCTGAGATCCCCAGCACATGGCAAAGACAGCACCCAGGTAAGTGTTCTCTGAACCCTCAGGGTTTGACATTCTTGGGTTATGAGCATCCTGGGACTGGGACATTACAGAGCTTACCAGGGAACCCTGGAAATCCACTCTCTTCTCTCGCTGTGACTGTCACCAAGTCACCACCCCGCTGGAGGTGACACCCCTCAATCGATCCCTGTGGCACCCACTTTCCATCCAATAAAACAGGTGAGCAACTGGATCCATCTCGTCACTTAGAATCATTTATAGTCACATGCTCACAGAAAGAACAGGATGAAAACACTCTCCTCCCTCATTTCACAATCTCTGAAAGCTGGAAGGTGACCAAAATGAGGGGGTTTCTCTCAACAAGCCTGAGGGATCTTCAGCTCTAAAGAGCTGCTGAAACGGAGTAAGTTGACAAACTTTCATACCCCAATGTGCTGAGATATTGCTATGGCACTTTTCTTTCAATTCATTGCAGTCTCAGTTCTCTACAGTACTAGGTGGGCATATTTATTCAGAAAAAAAAATCACGTTTCAAAGTCCCTACAGACATTAAAGGTTGTACTGAACTGTGGCAGTGTCCACACAGTGAAACATTTCCTGATGAATTCATCCATTACAACCATGGGAAATTGCAGGAGTTCAACAATATCCTGCACCCTGAAATCAGCTGAATTGACAGCAATTCAATTTTGACTTCTATCAAATGTATTTAAAAGAAGTTTTAGATTTAAGTCAATCTAAATTCTCAGTAATATGTATACCTTATATTTGTGGTGGGGAAAATAGGGATTCTGCTTGTTTGAACTGGGTCATAGGCATTTTCATCTCAAACTGTAATCAAAGGCATTAATAAAAGTATTTTGTGACTTGGAGAATCAACGTTTAAGTGAACTAAATGCATTGACCTGCTCCTGCAAGCACACTGATGTGAAGATTTGATAAGAACATTCAGATGCAAGTCCTGCAATATTGAAAAAGTTTTGGAACAAACATGTCTGTCTGGTTTAGGTTAAACAGTTCTGCCTGCTGTTTGTGTTCTTTATTTCCACACCAGTCAGAGAATTAATAGTCAAAAGCAGTCACACAAATCCTGTGTCTCTGACTCTTAAGTAAAACATCTGAGGTTAAGCACTGGTGTAAATACTAGAAAAAAATATTATTTTCTTCCCTAAAACTTAAACCTTGAGTTGAAATACAACTTTGTCACTTTTTTCTCCAGAAATCCTAAATTATGGTGCATATAAATATTTAAGTATTCAGTCCTCCATAACATAGTTGGAATTTGGGAGGTGTCTTTTTTTAACTTCTTTGTAATTAGTGAGGGGAATAACTGTTTTTGTAAGTAAAAATATTCATTTCACACTTAAAATTAATCTTTATTAAATGGATGGAAGGGAGACAATGTTTTGATTGCTGTACTGGAATGTGGAGTTCTTTCTGCTGAATGTTCCTAGGAAAAGATGCTCCAGATTCCAGGTCAGAGAGCACAAATGTTCCAGCTGGGATAGAAGTAAATTGTTTAAGTAGGTGTGAGTTTGCTGGAGTGTTTGTAGCTCTGTGGGTTTCCCACAATGGAAATAATTGTCACTACATGAAAGTAAGGACATCTTGATGCTACTGAGGTTCCACCAAATTATCCAGTCAGCAGAAGGGGCATGAGCTCACTGGCCAAAACATCCAAATTGTGCCTTAGTTCATCTGACAATTACAGAAAGATATTGTAACTTTGATAGGCTGACATGTACATATGTGTTCAGCAGCAGCTAAAACATCATTGTAACATTCAAAATGTTGTCGTATTAAAACACTGCAAAAAACCCCTACAAATACATCTGCAGAAACATTAAATCCTTAAATTACAGTAGACCAGTAGCAAGGCAAGTATTCATGTACTTAGTCTTTGAGGCTTAACTTTATTTCCATTAATTCCAAGTATATATCTGGTTTGGGGGGGGGGTAAAGAGAAAAGAAAATTATTTGGGACAGATTTTTTTTTCTTCCAAAAGAAGATACTTGTCTAAACTTTGATGAAGAGTTTTTTGTTATTGTTGAACAGGTTCTCTGTTCAGAGCTGTAGTTGCAATGAGAACTGAAGGCAGAGCTGTGGTTTTGTCAGGTATCAATTGGTCACACTGGTGGTGTGTGCTCTTCACTACCACAGGTTTAATGCTTCAGCACAAATACAAAAGTAAGAATCCAAGGTGTGTGTTTCTCTCAGGGATACAAAACATGGTGTGACGTGGAGAAAAACGTTTCCTTCTTTGTGTCTGTGACAGATTAACCTTCAAAGGAGTGTTACTGTCAAATAAAACACTCGATGTTTTACTAGATCTTTGTATTTATCCTGAAAAACTGGTTCCAACTGTTCCTGTTGGATCTCTCCACTTGTCAGTCAGGTAGGAGTCTTATTTCTGTGTTAGATGCTCAGGGACTTTATGGCCCACACTGACAAGGGGGGAACATCTGCTTGAGCTTGGCTTC